AAGGGACCTTGGAGGTCTTCTAGTTCAATCCCGTCAAATGGTTATCCAGCCTATATTTGGAAACCTTCAGTGATAGAGCACCCACAACCTCAGGAGGCAAGCTATTCCACTGATTAATTGTTCTTACTGTCAGAAAATTCTTCCTTCTAAGTTGAATCTCTCTTTAACAAGCTTTTGCCCATTACTTCTTGTCCTGCTCTCTGGTGCCTTAGAGCAGAGCTTTTCAACTCATGGTATGCGTATCACTGTTAGTACTTTGGCACCTGGCAGGTGGTACATGTACCACGGGTTGAAAAGCATTGTAAAAAAAGTGTAAAAGTGGATGAAGTGGTGGCAGCGCCAAAGAGGCCTGGGGAAGAGTCATCTGGAGCTGCGGTGTTGCCGGGACTCTGCTGAGAGCCCAATATCACGCACAGTTCCAACTGATTGAAGCTTCCAGCGCACCCAAAAAAGAAAAGGAGGAGGGGGGAGAGAAGAGAGGATATAAAAGGAGGAGGGGGGAGAGGATATAAAAGGGGGAGAGAAGAGAGGATATAAAAGGAGGAGGGGGAGAGAGGAGAGGATATAAAAAGGAAGAGAAGGTGGGAGAGAAGAGGATATAAAAGGAGGAGGGGGAGAGAGTTGCGGATGAAGATGGCACGAGTACAGATTATAAAAGGAGGAGGAGGCGGAGAGAGTAGAGGTTATAAAAGGAGGAGGAGGAGAGAGAGGAGAGGATATAAAAGGAGAAGGAGGGGGAGAGAAGAGAGGATATAAAAGAAGGAGTAAAACCCGTACTTTTTTCCTTTTTTTTAAATGGTTTGTAACGTTTTATTAAATTATAGAATAAAATACAAAAATACAAAAGCAAATAGTAGGACACAGTGGGGAGGAAAAAGGGAAAGAAAAGTGAGCAGGAGAAGAGAAAAAGAAAAGAAAAGGTATTGACTTGGAGCTGCCTCTGTTGCAGTAGAATGAAGCATTAATATCAAACCTCAACTTTTTACTTTTCCATAATAGTATAAACTAAACATTTCTATAACAACAAATAAATCTAATCAGTAAAACCTAAAATCCCCCCCCTTTTTTTTAACGTCATCAAGTTTTTGACACCTTGCTAAGCACTGGTGGTACTCAAATATTGTCATGTCCTAAAAGTGGTACAACCTGTGAAAAGGTTGAAAAGCCCTGCCTTAGAGAATACATCAATCCCATTTTCTTTGTGACATACCCCCCCAAGTACTGGAAGACAATTATTATTTCCCCTCCAATCCTTCTCTTTCATAAGCTAGACATACCTAGCTTCCATATCTCAACCATTCATCGTATAATTTAGCCTTCAGGCCCTTTATCACCTTTATTGTTCTTCTCCGCACACTTTCCAGGGTCTCAACATCTTTTTTGTATCATGGTGACCAGGATTGGACACAATATTCTAAGTGTGGTCTCACTAGTGCGGTGTAAATGACACTATCACTTCTCATTGTTCTGACACCATCTCTCCGTTGATTCAGCCAAGGACTGCATTGGCTTTTTTGGCAGTAGTTTCAGCTGCTCAGCACATTTATCTGTAGCCTATAAGGCTACTTTAGATCATGCTTTTATAAAATTTCCTTTCTAGTAAAAATATTTGTTCTTCCTAGGCAAAATCCTGATTTTTTCAGGAAATAGCAAGTTGTTTGCTTTGTTTATTTAAAATATTATTCTAAATAATTATTTAGAATAGTTCCATGTATTTATTCTAAATAAATAAGAATTAGAATAATTAATATTCTAAACAAGGTCCCATATATTCTATTTTATATCATTTGAGCTTGATTTAGTCTAAATGAAAGGCATTGTGCAAATGTTTGCTCTATTGTTTATCTCTTTTCCTGCAATTCTCAATTGAGAAAATGTTTTCAATAATGGGATGTTCAAGCTGGCTTTAGAACGGATCATGGCATCTGTAATTATATTGCAAACCTACATTGGATTATGGGAAAATATCAAGAATATCAAAATAACATATTTGTTGTTAATTGCGAAATCGTGTCCGACCCATCGCAACCCCATGGACAACGTTCCTCCAGGTCTTCCTGTCCTCTACCATTTTCTGGAGTCCATTTAAGTTCACACCTACTGCTTCAGCGACTCTATCCAGCCATCTCATTCTCTGTCGTCCCATTCTTCTATTGCCCTCAATCTTTCCCTACAAGAAAGGCTTTGTGTCAATCGTGACAAGCAATAGAGAGCTTAGAAGATCTGGGGGGACAACACATTTGGACAAGTTGATGTAGCCACTTATATTGAAAGATACTGTGCGAACATCACATGGAGGCATTGATGGCTTCACAGTAGGAAAAGAAATATGGTGAGGTTGCATTCTTCCATCGTTCTTATTCAGCCTATATACTATAGTGATCATGAGGAAGCTAGAACTTGAAAATTCAAAAAATTAGAGTAAATATTGAAGGAAGGAACATCAGCAATCTTTGATATACTGACAACACAATTCTCTTAAAAACCAAAATAGGCCTGAAACATCTGATCAAAAGGATTAAAAAAGAAAGTGAGAAATTTGGCCTTTTTCTGAACATCAAAAAGACCAAACTCATGATCCCTGTGAGAAATGGAAATATCAAAATACCAATTGATGGTGAAGAAATCAAATGCATTTTCCTAGAACTGTACATTGATCAAAGCAGCGAAAGCATGAAATTGCAAATCCAACATCAGCCAGAGCATAGAACAATGAGAGAAGCCAAGCATTCTCAAAAAAAGTGGAGAGCTAATCCATAAAATCACCAAGAATCCGACACAGTTGAATGGATACCGGTAGCATCATTATCAATGTCCACTAGATGGCAGTGGAACTCCAAAACATTAAAAGAAGTTTTGTAGCGTTAAAATAGTCCTTAACTTATGACTGGTCTTTTAGCAACTGTTCAAAGCTATGACAGATCCCCAAAATCAGGTAATCAGGTTCTGAAGTTCTGATGTTACCCTTCCCCATGCAGTCACATGACATTGCATTTCAGGCATTCAGCAACCCACTCACATTTACAGTCATTTGCAGCACCCTGCAATCAAATGACCATGATTTACAAAGTTTTTGCCCCCCAAAAGGCAGGTTTTCGCAAAAATGCCCCATAGCGAACAATGGCTTCTCTTAATGCCCGTGGATTCACTTAATAACTATGGTGCAAAAAAAACCGTAAAATCAGATCACTCATATGATGAGCCATTTTATTACCTTCACAACTTACGACCGTAAAGGGCAGACCCCAGTACAGTCATAAATCAAGGACTACCTGTAATCAATTCATAATTGCAAACTAATTCTCTCTCTGTGTGTGTGTTAAATTTAGATTTTTGCTGACAAAGAATTAAAGAGGGACTAGTATAGACTATATATAGCTATGTATATATATGTGTGTGTGTGTGTGTATGTGTGTGTGTATTTGAAATGTACATCTGTTATAAGAAGCCTTTAATATTGCATTCAAATACGTAAATCCTGAGCCTTTAAAATTTTATTTCCATACCAATAATGCATATAATTCATGCTTAGATGAAGACAACTGTAATGTTTTAAGAGAAACAGTTGTTACATTTCTGTATCACTACTAAAGTATGTAGTTGTACTGGTTCAGAAAGTTTTTTTATATTTTCTGAATTTGATTCACATGTATCTTTAGAACAATCTGCATCCAGATATAGGCAGTATAAGATGCAGTGCAGCATGACATGACACTGCAGATGCTTCTGGTTGTAAAGCTTCAAGGCTGATCTGATTTTTTTTTCACTATGTTTCTCAGAACTGATTCTTGCCATCTCTTTTTTCATGCAATAATGGCATGAAATATTATATGAACTGGATCCAGGCATCCAGAATAACCAATGGCTATAGCATAAATCCACGTCATTAAGGGCAGTGTGTATCAGGCAGCTGAATTTCCTGCATGCAACATGTCTTGGTTTTAATCCTCTAGGCCCGTGGTGGTGAACCTATGGCACCATGCCCCAGGCGGCACACAGAGCCATCCCTGTAGGCACGCGCACCATTGCCCCAGAGGCAGGTGGGGACAGGCTGCTCCCCTCCCCCTCTCCAGGTGCGCGAGCACTCTTGCTTTCTTTCTCTTTGCACTGGGAGTCAGGGAGTAGCTGCAAGAGCTGGGCGGATCTGGGCTGGATGGTGGAAGCAGGGCTTTTTTTATCATACAACACAAGTAACTTTTTTTTTTAACGGAAGCTGCCAGCGCGAGTCCAGGTATGCCTGCAGAGCAATTTTGTGGACTGCCAGCAACCCAATCCGGGCTCCAGAGGTCTGGGAAAGGTCTCTGCTGCCTGGATCTATGGCTGCAGAGTAATTTTGTGGGGCCCCTCCCATGGCCGATCTGGGCTCTGGAGGCCTTTTCCAATCCTCTGGAGCCCGGGTCGGGCCTCTGGGGGGGCCGCAAAATTGCTCCATGGCCATGAATCCGAGCTCTGGAGGCTTGGAAAAGGACTCTGGAGCCCAAATCGGGCCACTGGGGGGCTGCAGTTTGGGCACTCAGTCTCTAAAAGGTTCACTACCACTGCCTTAAGGTAATAGAATCTCTGGAATAACAACATTCTCTTTACCGTATTAATGGATGTCTTCAGTGATGCTCACCTGGCTAGGAGATGCTATAGGGAGAACACAAAAGAGATATATCCTCAATGCTTTTCTTTAGCCTAATGCCTGATTGCTGAGATTTCAGAGCAGTGAATTTGAAACAGCTAGCAACTATGTCTTCCAGGACGCCATTATGTCTAGCTATATTAAACTCCTATTCTTACATAACTGACCCCATTGATACATGACCATTGTTTGAGAGAGATGCTAGGCAGCATAACAGTCAAGCAAACAAAGATACAACAAATCAATCCGAATTCTCATTTGAGCAACAAATGACCAGCTGTTTCCAAAGGTCAGAAGATCCAACTTTTAGAACAAACATATTTAGATTGGTCTATAGATTCTAGAATAGAAAGTAACTCATTGCATACATTTGTGCTTACTTCAAAATAAACTAAAACTTTTTATTTCAACATACACTATAATACATTGAAATATTATTAAAACCTAATAACTATTGATAATTTTAAAGGACTTGAACCACCTATGATCAGCTGAGAGGATTATCCTTACTCCTGAATTAGAAAATTTGCCATTTTTGTATTCCATATAAAACCACAAAGTTCTTCAAATGTATAATTGTTGAAAAAAAGATACACATAATATACATATTTTAATTACATTAACATTCGTAATGTTTTATCTCAAATTAGATATTCTAACCTGAGTATGTACTGTAAGTTAAAGCTAAAGGCACATATCCTGTAGTCTTTCCTGAGCATTGTTTCATGTCATATTACTTCAGATAAATAGAATTCTTGCAGAGTCCTTCTCGCAATATGCAGAGATGATATTAAAATGCCAAACTGAGAAAAGATAAAAGGCATCTACTAAATATTGGGGAGAGAGGGAAGATTGCCTACAACGGATTGCTTTTTATCTGTGTTAACAAAGAGCACAAATAAGCAAGTCTATGGTGTATAGTTTTTGCCCAGGGTACCTGTCAGTGAGATGAGTGACATAAAAATTTAATAATAAATAAATAAAATTTACATCTTTGACTTGGTGAAGGTGACTCAGGCAATGCCTGTAGATGCCCATGGCTGGGTAGGGAGTGATGGTGGAAGAGGAGCTACAATTGATAGTTAACAGTGACTGGCTGGGAAAAGATACAGGGAATAGAAGCTCTTTGTAAACATGAACCCAAGGAGAAAAAAGGCAATCTGATATTTAGGCTGGGTCAATATTTGAGTGGATTTCCCAACTGGAGTACTCACTGAAAGATAGGCATTTTGAACAGGGTGATGTAATGATATAAATGGTTGTAATGGAACACAAGGATGTCACATTGCATCATTTGCTTCAAGGAGTGATGGCTTATTGTGTCACTGTCCCTGCCTCTACAGATACCCATGAATTGAAACTTAAAGTAAAACAGTTTAAGCAATCACTTATCACTAAAAGCAAATGAAGGCTCTGGGCTCTGTATAAACACAGTATTCTAAACATGTTCACCATCCTACAACACTGCAAAGGTATGTTAGCATTTGTTTACAAATAACAATTTTTGGTTTACTTGTCAAAAACACACTGTCTGCAGTCAAATCCTCTTCACATTTTGTACAGCTATACTTATCTCCAAGTCACAAAAAATACCAGCTGTGATCCTATCTGACAGTGATTCATAAGTTCTATGTGCAGCAAAATTTTCTGTGATATATATAAAAAAGGGGTGGGCTGTGATTGCGTGGTCACAACACAATGATGACTTTTTGGACACATAGACAAGCACACCAGAAGTGCCTTGCACAGGTGCTTTAATGACTTGGAGAAAATTGCTTCATAATGTGAATCTTGAACCCAGTGAATCTCTTATCCAAGGTTTGCATAAGCATCATTGCAAAATAGGGATTTGAAACATGGCGTGAGTCTTTGCACTGAATGAATTCAAAATACAGAAATCATCTGAAATATACTTTGACCTTATAGTTTTCTTCTTCTTTTTATAAAAATAAGCCAACTCTGCTGTAGGTAATTCTCATATGCAAAGTAATATACAGAGTAATTTGTGGAAATCATTATTTGCTGAAACAAAATATCTGGCTTTTTGTATTCTTTGATAATAAATAATTACAAAAATAAAAAAAATAAGAAACAAAGCAATACATTTACAAATATAAATTTGAAATCTATCCTAGAAATTATTTATATTTATAAATAGTGATAATGTATAATTGATTAATTTTACTATTTTAATAAATATCCTATTTTCTGCTACATTGCATCTGGTGTTTGAAAAATATGTGAAAATTTCCCACTTTATCCAAGAACAATGAAAGAGTGGATCCACCATTTGTTAATAGCCAGAACTGATTCTCATTTGAGATGCTACAATGTCATTTGTTTCTACTTCAATTGAGAAAAACAATGCCATAATACATTCATAAATTAATGTTTAAATTGTATAAGACTAAATAATGAAAAAATAGAATCACTAGGGACTAGAAATACTAAAATAGAAAGTGAACTATGAGAAAATGTTTCTGTAGAATTAAATTTCATCTTCTGACTCCTGTTCTCGCTCAGATGTTTTCAGCAATCCGATTTCCATGGATGGGACTTGCATTATTTTGGTACGAACCACCCTGGAGAAGAAAAGTTACAAGAACAATTCATGCTAAATTATCACACATTCTAAGCTAATTAGTGATTAAGTAGAGGGATAGTTATTTTTACACAAGATAGCACATTGAATGCAAAAACCAACTCTACTATTCCATCTATTTTTACAATATTTAGCTTTCTTTTTCCAAAGTTGTTCTTATTATACCAATATTACTGTGTGGCCAATAAATTATATGGATGGATAAATGTACTCTTCATTCTTAATGTTTAACATCACTAGGGTATTATGTCCAGTTAATATATTATAATCTGTGCCATATAGATCTATGATATATGAAATCCAATGCATGGCTTAATCTGCTGCCTCAATATGTTTTTGTCCTTTGATTTTGTCCTTATATTCTAATCTCAGAGAAGTACAACCTGTTGGGAATATTAGATTATAAAACAACAACAAAAATAATAGGCAAAATCAAAGTATTACATAGTAAGGTCTTCCAAACCTGTGTGCTGAGCTGAATGACTACATAGATATCAAAATAAAGAAGCTGACTAAAAGAATCTCAGTAAGAAATTAAAGAGTTGACATTCTTCCAGCACTAGTATGAACAGCTTTTATATAACTGTGTATATAATTGTATACACAGTTTTATGTATACAACTGTACATATGCAATTTGTTTGCAATTTCTAGGCAGGCATCAAGGAACAATTGTGTATTTCAAAAGTTATAGGTTGAATGCCATTGCATCTGTAAACTACTATAATTTTTCATTCCTATCCAATTGGAGTACCTATTTTTGAATAAATGGAGATTTTGAATAAAGTGTAAAATTCTTGACATTTAAGTGGAGCTCTTTAGAATACCAATAATATTCATTTACCAGCTGACTAGAATATAATTGACTGCCATGATAAGAAGTATAATTGCATAATGCCAGCAATAGCACATGGTGAGAAACATGATATTACTGTGATCCACTTGGCTCCATTCTGGACTTCCACTTGGAGAGTAAAGGACAAATCCAATCTGTAAAAAAAGGGGGGCATTAGAAATACTGGGATTACCTCTCTCCAATTATATTTACTTCTCAATAAGATCTGATAGTGTTCCATGCTTCAGGGCCATCTCTAAAACTAGTGCTTTCCAAACTTTTCCTTTATTATCCAAAACTGCCTATCAGAAAGTCCTTATTTAAATGTCCCACTTGTGATTGGATAATGGGTTTGTGTGTTATTATCCAAAGAAAAGCACAAAGAAAAGCACCCAATTTGGGATAATATACCCAGATTTGGGGAGCTGTTGGAGAGCGACTATCTCAGTCAGGAGGAGACAAACTGGGAATTAATTTGGAGTCATTAAGTAAACACAAGAGGCAAGGCCTGACTTCTTGAATGTTGCTGGATTTTATCTAGTCTTTCCCAGGGGCAAACTGCCATCTGGTAAGATTCCTGTGAAATTAGCATAGAACAATAAAATATCTAGTTTACACTTTACACATGTGGTCTGGTCATTCATACCTAACATGCCTTTTCTCAAGCTGGTTTACCCTGTGTAATAGCATCCCCCTCCAGATCCACATGCCCCCAAATTTTCCTGCTTTTAAGTAATGCTTTGAAGACCCAGGCAGGATTTGTAGAGCTATCTGGGATAGCTGTTTCAAATCTTGAAGTGCCTTTGGTGAAAACTGCTTTGTGTCCAATTACATTTTAAGTCCGTTTGTTTTTTAGTTATCATCCTGCATTGTTTTAGAAAGGGTGGCTATATAAATTGCCATGAATAAATACAGTTATAAGATTTCCTTTCTGCTTTGTGTGTTCTTTATTATAGCTTAAGGCTGAGGTAGGCTACACTTCTTTGGTTGACATCCTTTTTTTCCCATATAGTCAGTAGTGCTGAAGCATGTGGGGAGTGGAGTAAAAAGCAAAAGTTTATGCCACTGCTTCTTTGAAAATGTCTATTCTCATTCTGATGTCCACTTTTTTTTCTGTTCTCTCATTTCCTATAGTTCCGATGAAAAATTTATCTCTTGCACAGTTCTTTAATTAGGCTGAAGGCCACATAAACTGAAGTTGAGGGCTGCATATACCCAAAAGTTGGCAGATTATCTGCCTGTATTATAAGAATAGAGAGTTAGAATCATTTTATATCAGCTTTCTCTACAAAGGCATTCTCTAGGCCTTTGGAACTTCCCAGTAATTTCCATTATACTAGGATGATATGGGGAAGGCTGATTTAGATATTAACTTTATCTAATATTCACTATGTAGATTTGGCCAGGTCACAATCATTGGGCAGGCTAGAAGAGTCTAACCACAATTCTTAACCTTTAAATATTTTCCTTATATGCTACCATACTTATAAAAGGGGAAATATGAAATAATTTCAAAGTAAAGTAGTCCTGTGCCCAAAGAAATGCAACAAATGAAAGCATTCTAACAACTCTGCCAATGAATCATCAGATCATAGCATCCATAAAGTCTTCCTAAAAATGCTGCTAAATCCTAAAGACCTCTCTTTCAATAAACAATAATTGTTTTTCTACATTTAAACACGTGTAGCATAAATCCTAAAGTGGGTTTAAAGAAAACACTAAAATGGGCTTAATAAAATAAACCAGTAATTCATAGAGAAAAAAACCTGTAAAATCCTGATCTTACCTAAATATGCCACATGACCCAATGTATGGTAATACTCGACTTAACCATCGTTTAGTGATCGTTTGAAGTTACAACAGCACTTTTAAAAAGTGACTTACAAAACCAATCCTTGCACTTACAACTATCACAGCATCGCCATGGTCCCATGATCAAAACTCACGTGGCTTTGCAACAGGTATGTATTTACGATGGTTGCAGTATCCCAAAGTAACATGTTCACCATTTGTGACCTTCCCAGCAGGCTTTCAACAAACAAAGTAAATGGGGAAACATTGCATAATTCACTTAACAACTGCAATGATTCACTTAACAACTGTGGTAAAAAGGTCATAAAATTGGACATGAATCATTTAACAACTATCTTGCTTAGCAACATAAATTCTAATCCCACCTGTGATTATTACTCAAGGAATACCTATACTTTGCTTCACTGCTCTGCTACCTAAGGATCTCCTCTCCTCTCCCCTCCCACTCATCTCATCTCTCAACCAAAACCTCTTTCTGATCATTAAAAAGTCTTCTATTCCTGTCTGATTTGTTATCTTGGACTATATCAGAGCTCCATGGGCAGGACAGGGGAAAATGCTGGCAGTTAAGTTTCTTTTCCTCCAAAGAAACAAACAGACAGAGATAAAATGTCTGAAGCAGGCACTGATAGAAGAACAAATAGTGGTAATCACTCTACTGTAACATAGTAGTAGTAGTAGTAGTAGTAGTAGTAGTAGTAGTAGTAGTAATAATGGAAGGGACCTTGGAGGTCATCTAATCCAACCCCTTGCTCAGTCAGGAAACCCTAGACCATTTTAGACAAATGGCTGTCCAGTCTCTTCTTAAAAACTTCCAATGTTGGAACATTCACAGCTTCTGGAGGCAGGTTGTTTCACCGATTAATTGTTGTAACTGTCAGAAAATTTCTCCTTAGTTCTAGTTGCTTCTCTCTTTGGTTAGTTTCCATCCATTGCTTGCTGTCCTGCCTTCAGGTGCTTTGGAAAATAGCTTCACTCCCTCTTCTTTGTGGCAGCTCCTGAGATATTGGAACACTGCTATCATGTCACCCCTCGTCCTTCTCTTCGTTAAACTAGACATACCCAATTCCAGCAACCGTTCCTTGTATGTTTTACCTTCCAGTCCCCTAATCATATTTGTTGTTCAAAACTGGATGCAGTATTCCAGTGTGGCCTTACCAGGGCATTGTAAAGTGGTATTAACACTTCATGTGATCTTGATTCTATCCCTCTGTTAATGCAGCCTAGCATTGTGTTAGCTTTTTTGGCGGCTGTAATACACTGCTGGCTCATATTTAAGTGACTCCAAGATCCCTCTCACAGTTGCTGCTATTGAGCAAGGTACCACCTATTCTATACCTGTGCGTTTGGTTTTTCTTGCCTAAATGTAGAACCTTACTTTTATCACCAATGAATATGTTTTTGTTAGATAGCACCCAATGTTCAAGTCTGTCAAGATCCTTCTGTATCTTAAGCCTATCTTCTGGAGTGTTGGCTATTCCTCCCAGCTTAGTGTCGTCTGCAAATTTGATGGGTTTCTCATCTATCCCACATGCTGAGTACGGCCGGTCAGCCAGCTATGAATCCATTGGTGGTGATGCGTCTAACCCACATTTTTCTATCTTATCAAGTAGTAGGTTGTGGTATACTTTATCAAATGCCTTACTGAAGTCCAAGTAAATTATATCTACAGCATTCTTCTGGTCCACTAATTTTATCACCTGGTCAAAGAATGCAATAAGATTTGTCTGGCACGATCTGTTTTTGACAAACCCATGTTGGCTTTTGGGGATGACTTTGTTTGCCTCTAGATGTTCGTTGATTCATTGCTTGATTATCTTTTTCAAGATCTTCCCAGGTATTGAGGTCAGGCTGATAAGTTTGTAGTTTCCTGACTCCATTTTTTCCCTTTTTTGAAGACGGAAACTACTTCAGCTCTTTTCCAGTCCTCTTTCCACTTGTTAATATTTGTTGTCTCCGACAATCAGCTACTTCTGGCTGACCACATGGGTGCAGTCAGCCTTTCTTCCTGCCAGTTCCAAGGGCTCCTTTGGATCAAGTGGGACAGCTAATGCTGGCCCGTGATCTGCAAAGTTTCATCCTTTGGCCAGTTGCCTCTACAGGGTGATTTTTGGTCTTATTGGACCCCCCAGCTGGTAGAAATTGGGCTTGGGGAATGGAGCTTCATTCTCCAGCGCCCATGTTGCAACGACGTCACCAGAAACCCAGCATGTTGGCTTTTGGTAATGACTTTATTTGCCTCTAGTGTTCGTTGATTCATTGCTTGATTATCTTTTCCAGAATTTCCCAGATATTGAGGTCAAGCTGATAAGTCTGTAGTTTCCTGGATCCATTTTTTCCCCCTTTTTTGAAGATGGAAACTACATCAGCTTTTTTCCAGTCCTCAGTGGTCTAGGATCTTTGAAAGATATAGTTCAGTGTTCTGAGATCACATGTGCCAGTTCCTTCAGAACCTTGGGGTGTATCCATCTGGTCCTGGTGATTTGAACTCATCTAGGGTGGACAGGTGTTCCCTTACCATTTTTCTTGCCTATGTTTCTAATCTTCTTTTTTACAGTACTGTTTTTAATAGGTTGGACTGTTTTTTCCCTTTATGTAAATATGGATGCAAAAAACTAGTTAAATAGTTCTGCTTTCTCCATTGCTTGTCACCTTCTTGCCACTTCCTCCCACTAATGGACCAATCATTTCCTTAACTTTTTTCTTGTTTTTTACATGTTGAAAGAAGCTTTTTTTGTTATTTTTGACTTTTGTTGCAAGCCTTAGTTCATTTTGAGCCTTAGCTTTCCTCACTTCATTTTTGCAGGCTCGGGCTATTTGCTGATATTCTGCCTTAGTTATGTGCCCCACTTTTTATACTTCTCCTTAAAGTCCAAGACTCTAGTTTGACTGTGTTCTATTGCTTGTTCTTGTATAATGTTGAATTCCAATATTGCATGGTCACTCCCCCCGCCAAGCTTCCTGTGGTTTCAACACCTTCTATCATTTCAGCTCTGTTAGAGAGAATGAAGTCCAATATGGCTGATTCCCTAGTTCCCTTCTCTACTTTTTGGGAGACAAAGTTGTCTGCTAGGTTTGTCAGGAATCTGTTTTATCTTCCACTTGGTGCAGAGTTTGTCTCCCATTTGATGTCAGGGTAATTAAAGTCCCCCATTACTATTGTGATGTGCTTCCTACATACCTTAGTTAACTGATTAGCAAAAAGTTCATCTATTATCTCTGTTTGATTGAGTGGCCTATAGTATACACCTATGGTATCCCCCCCCCCTTTTATATTGATCCAAATGCATTCAAGACAGTTTTCATCATTGTTGTGCTCTATTTCTGTAGAGATGTAGTTATTTCTTATATAGAGAGCAACTCCACCTCCTCTTTTATTTGGTCTGTTTGTTTTAAATAATTTAAATCCCTCTAGCTGTGTGTTCCATTTGTGGGTTTCATCCCACCATGGTAACAATATCATATCTGCCCTCATTAACCTGAATTTCTAGTTCATCCTGTTTACTGTTCATACTCTGTGCGTTGGTGTACAGACATTTGAGTCCTTTATGACTGACCCTGTATTTACTTTCTACATAACTTGTGTGATGCCTGAGTTCCCTATTTTCTTACCACCTGTTTGATGAGTGCACTTTGTGTGGCATTCACTATTAAAAGCTTGATTTTGCTTGGCAGCAAGGTTGATATTCTTGTCCACACATACACGTCTATGTTACATACACTGATAACCCTATAATTTTTAGATTGCCAGGGGCAGGATTGTTCTGTGTCAATTAACTCACTGTCCCCATTTTTCAGTTTAAATATTTCTCCAGAAAATCTGTGAATTTATTGCCAAGTAACTCAGTCCCTTTCTTTGATGGGTGCAAACTATCTCTTTTGTACACTTTTTCATTGGACCAACTGGAGACATCGTGACTAATATAACCAAAGTCTTCCCCTACACCACTCCTTTAGCCACATATTGAATTCTGCTATACACTGGCCTTTTCCATTTTGCTCCTTATATACTGGTAAAACCTCTGAAAACTATCCTGCTAAATTCCTGCCCCAAGCTCTGGAAATCATTCTGCACAGAGAGTACGTCTTTTCGGGACAGATCGTTAATGCCAAAATGTACAATAGCATCCACATCACACTCCTTGCTGGCATTCTTGACTATCTTAAAAATACGCTTGCTGACCTTATTAGGGACTAAGGAGACAGGTCAAGGTACTTGGGATGATGATAAGCAGGGGACCGTGGTCCGAGATAAAGAACTTGATTTGGACAGGGGAAAGTGTGAATCAGGTATTACATACCAGTCATGCAATATTTACAATAATGCAGAGTAATCTCCAATATCATTACACTGCAGTCACCTTAGCAGATAAAGAGAAGCAGAGACAGGTTGAAGCAGTGAATAAGCTGGTATCCAGTAAGTGTTCAGCCGCTGTTTGGAGATTTCATTTGCTGATCCTGGTTCTAATCTCAAAAGATATTTTTAAAATGCATCAAGAAAAAAAAGAAAAATTATTTACTCACCTGCCAGAACCAACTTCCTTGCAATATGCAAAGACTTGTTCGGAACATCTCAAGAACAATGCTATTGTGGAAAAAGACTTCCAAGAATATGCAGATGGCACCTCCAAATATAGTTATTAAAAGCAACTGATGAACATGAAAATCTAACATGGAACGCCCATGGATGTGATAATAAAATAGAAAACCTGTTGAAAAGGAATGAGAAGTCAACTACTTTTTATTCTGCAGGTTTTATACATGATTGCTGCTAAAAACCTTTGGGTTTTGTGTCATGCAAACTATGTATTTAATTCCAAAGAGTCTTAGCAGGTTATATAAAAAAACTTTTGGAAGCTGTTATTGCCACCACAGGAATTATAAAGTACAAGTGCCTTGGGTCATGATGTTCTTATTTTGAATGTTTAAACATATATAGGATGTATGCATTCAAATTTGCAGAAAGATGTTGTATTTAACTTTGTATAATGTTTAATAAATACATAAATAAACAAATAAATAACGCAATCTATTTACTTGAGCCATATACTTTAAGCAGATGAAAGATAATGTAATTCAGGACTGCTACTGTGAAGATTTTCGGTTGTTTACATGATTAATATGTTAAACAACATCCTTTGAGGTACCTACTGTACAGTGATTTTTGTTTAATCTCTTTAAACATAATTTATCCTCAGATAGTAATGTTAAATTATTTCAAACATAATCAATTCTTAATCTCTTTAAATAAAACAAATCTTCCACTCTGCATGTATCACTAATAAATAGATGCTTATTAATTCATTATTTCATAGTCTTTATCTATTTTTGTTCCCTATTTCTGTTTCCTTTCTCATATTGATTACACAACATAGTTACCTTAATAGATAAATTTAGTCTATTCTTTTTCATTTGGGTTCAGAAAACTTTTCTACATAAACAGTGCAGTGAAATACCATAAGCTCACCTTCCACAAAAACAGCAAGTGAGAGCATCATTCGGTCTAAGGCCTCAGGTAATACATTTGTGCTGTGAGTCACAATGTCCACTAGTCCTGAGATGCCATAGAAGAGGTACATGGTTGCATGCTGCCAATTCATTAAGTAATTCCACTGCTTTTTTTCATAATTATATAGCTTCAAATGAGGTCCATCAGGAACAAACTGCTCTGCCATCATACCTGTATAAAATAACAAAGGGATACGCAAGCAACCTTTTTTTTGGCTATTATGCAAAAAAAAAAATCAAATTATTATTTTATCTAATGGTATTAAGCTGCTTACAGCTAAGAGTGCTACTGTGCAATAGGCCTGCTTCAGAAATAAAATTAAAGTGGCTCCATAAATAACATATTTTATTTGTAAAACTTCTCACATTTTCTTATCATATCCTCCATATTTTTTCTTACCATGTATAAAATCATATAGAGAAAAAATGACACTGCAAAACATACTTCATTGGTAGTGGTCTGTCTGGAAACATTCATACTCTATCTTGCACATTTTCATTTCTTGAAATAAATTTCACAACATCTTCAGTTCTATGCAATACCTATAATGTGAACAAATCACAGACCATAGCACCAAGTCTGTGAAATTCATTGCATGCTTATATTTGTAAAGTGTATTTCATGTTTAAATTACATTTCTAAAATTGACAGGAGTCGCCCAAGATATTTTGCTATAGTATTCCTAAAATATTTGGATGGTCACCTGAATCTTATGTCAGCTGTAATGGTGAACTAACATCAGTGAAGGAGGTTGGTTGTGGAGGTGCTGGATGGACTATGTAGCAAACAAAGTTTATCTTCCAACAGACAGAGAGAGTTGGATAAGCCCAAGAGAAATGGTCAAGGCTTGCCACTGGTTTCACCACATATATCCTTGACCAAAGATTACTACACTCCTTCTATCTGGGATGGTCATCCTCTTTCATTGAGCACACAGCTTTAGGAGGGATGAAAATGGAACTATGAGTGAGGAAGAGGATACCCCCCTAGCTAGCCAGATCAATTGAATCAACCATGGCAATCAATGGGGTGACAGATGCCACAGCCAGATCACCTTCACATCTATACCGTTGCTTTACCCTGCCTAATTGTAGGGCCATTGGCTACCAAGAACTGGGATATGAATGGAACTATGCTTTGTAACCAAGACAATCTCTAAGTTCACAGATCATTTTATGTAATTATTTTTTTACTGATTGTTTTTGAATAAACCACAACTAGCTGAATTCATTTATCATGCCAAGCAATACTCATCTGAGAATGGAGGTTGCTTCATCTCTAAATGTAACTAACTGTTATCTATGTGTAGGTACTACCATGGGTGAACAACGGCCTTGGGAAGCACGTGAAATAAATTTTACTGCCCTGATTAGTCAAAATATCACTGGAAAAGCCACAAATAGACCTAACATGTGGACTCTGACCACTTCCATAGTGGGAAGCCTCTGTTTTAAAAAGAGAAGGTTCTGGTAAAAACCTTAGGGAGACTTAGGAGTGAACATCTCTTGTAGATGAGCACCTCCGTATCCTTTTAGTGGATTACCGATGTTTCGGCCTAACCCCAAACTCCCATGGCAAACATTCCCCAACTGTCTACTTTATGGACCAATCTAACAGATGCCACCCTCAACTGAACTGCCCCAGATGGACCTACTACTTGGCAAGAAGATGGAATGTATAAGTTATCGGACTCTTATTTGTATATTTAATAGAACTGTTAGACTGCAAGCTGTATTAGAAATTATTACAAATCAAAGGCATTTAGAATAACATAATGCTGTTTTGCTTCTCTATACTATGCTTGCGCAGGGACCTCCATTAGCCCAAGGCAAGAAGTACACGTACGAAAGATAAAGAAAATTAATTGGTTAAAATAACACTACAAAATGGACTTTCGGTTCCGGATCGCAGCGCTCGCAGCTGTGCGAAGAGACTGCTCTCTTCACCAGCTGATTCTCCACTGCCGGTAGACCCTTAACCGGATCGAAAAGCCGCCTTGGAGGGGCGGTTACCGGTGAAGAGGTCCTCGTCGTCTGTGGGAAAGTGGCAGCTTCTTCCACGGCCTGAGATTGCTCCTTTGGGCCGACAGTGGAAAGAACGGCCAGTAAAATGGCCGTTCACCTTGCTGCTGTAACCAGAAGTCAGAAGAACATCTAAGCACAGAAACCACCGTGGCTGATCCGGGTGAGACTTTTTTCTTTCCCTCTCTTGGTTCTCCTTTTTCTTTTGTGCCTGTAAAAAGCACTTTTGAAATTACTCCTCTGCTCTAAGAAAGTGGCGTTTGTGAGTGGGAAAAAGAACCTTAAATGGATTGAATTAATTTAAAGTGACTTTTTTTCTTCTATTTTTTTTATTCACTTTGGGGTCTTGGAAATTTTTTTTAATATTGAATCTACTATTGGACTTAGTCTACATTTGAAGAATTCTCCTTTCTGTGTTTTCTGATCTTGTTTATGATATTTCTGATCTATGGGAGAAGATTTTACTGAGGACACCTTGTGGAAAAAGTTAAAATTGCAACTGTCTCTTTTTTCTGATGATGAGACTGACTTTGACCTTCAGATTACCATAAAAGGAAAAATACAAAGAAATTTAATAGCTGTACTGGTGGAGGTGGACACTGATTAAATGTTCCTTGAACACAGCCTCTACTAAATGATACAGACTGTTTCTAATTACTTTGTTCAACTTGACTATAAACTTATACTGGAAAAACTTTATGAAGCTACTGATGAAATACATTTGCAAATAAAAGAATTTACTATGGAAATAAAAAACAGAAATCCTGCTTTGAATTTACAAATTGACCCCCAGACTTTATCTGAGCACTATATAGACCAAAAAACAACAGAAGCGGGATTAACTAAAGGTAAAGAAGATTCCACTCTACTTCATATGCATGCTGATGAGATCTCCGAGGAACTAAAAAGGACTGTAACTAAACCACTTACAACCCTAAAACCAATAGAAATGGAGAGACAAGCTCAACGAACTGAGAACTATGGTAGCTTGGATAAGTAACTATTATCTACCTGCTATTCAACAGTTTCAAACGTGGAGACTTGACTCTTTAAAACAACAAGGGATTACTTACAAAGGAGCTAGGTCTCTAAAACAGAAAAGGGGACGTCTCTGTTTGATCCAAAGGATATTACAAGGCATAAAAAGTGACTTGTTCATTGATATAGAGGCGTTGTTATGGAAACCTGTCTGGCATAAAAGGAAAGCTAGAATAAGATTTAAGAGTGTGACTTAAGGCTTTATGTAATGGGTTTAAAAAGCTTATTAGATATGGACTGATTTATGGCTTAAGACAGTTAAATAAGATGTTATATTGAATAAAAATTAATTAAAGGTTTGAATTTAATAACAAGATGTTTGTCTATGTATTAATATGTTTTGGATATAGTAATTTTGGGAGGAGGTTAAAGAAATTTGATACAGATATTGAGGGATTGATTGATAGATTATAAAGTATAATAGAAATAGAAAGGTAATTTTTCTTTTTTCTTTTTTTTGTTTTGTCTTTGTTTTTTGTTCTTTGTTTTTTTTCTGTTTTGAACTAATATTTTTTTTATTAGAAATGATAGCTACTTTGTAATGGAAGAAGAATAAGAAAAAAGAAGAAATGATACTAATAAATGTTTATTGAATATGTTAAGGAAAAAGGTAATGGGGAGACACCCGAAGTGTTAATTATGTATTTAGATTAGAAATATGGAATATAGCAATTGAAATAGTTAAGCTTAACACAGGATCTGGATTTGTGGATCTATTTAGATGAAAGGTTATTGAGGATTGGTATGATTGACTTAGTTGTATTGAAATATATTAACTTGAATATAATATGTTACTAGAGGGAAAAGAGAGAGGTTTTTTAATGATTTAATCTGAACTTTATGAGTATGACTTTGTTTGTGGACAATTGATTGCCCTGCCACCACGTTGATTCTTAAGCATTTGTCTGTAAAATGAAAAAATAAAACTTTTTTTTTAAAAAAAAAAATAACACTACAAAATTAAAGGGGGGGTATGGCTTTCCTTTTACATGTTGCTGCCTGTGTGTGTGGAGGAAATATACCCAGCTTCTTCAGAAACCTGGACAACTGCCATGGACACAAGCTTGTTTGGAGAGATCTTTGGTGATTGGGGAAGGGAAAATTTTCTGGTTATGTAAGCATTTAGAGGTCTTTTGGTTTTGCCATCTTTGATTCCTGTTATCCAAAGAACAGTTACTTTTACCATCTCAGGGATGAAGGTCATAGCATCCTCTGTAAGTAAACCCCGTAAGCCAACCAAGGTCTTGATTATCACCACAATAACAAAGGAATATACATTATTGGTCACCAAGTAACAGAAAGCATTCTATTACAAAAATAAAGGGGGGAATGAAGGGTTCTGGAACAAAGGGAAATTGTTTTGTCTAACTGTTGCTTTCTTGCTTTTTGTAATCAGCTTTTGAATGAGGGAAATCTCATGCAAGCTTGGGAAACATGTACATGGATGGGATATACTAAAGAAGGGAATAAGGGAGTGTACAGGAATGATTGATGTCTTCTTTATGATGTAATGGCTCTGTTGTCTGATTTTCATTGGCTAACAAATTTATAAAGAAATGCTACCAACTTTCTATGGTGTGGCACTTCTGGACATAACTGCCAGTGTTCCAGATTGTTGGCCTCCAAGCTGCTTAATTTGATCAAATAAAGTGCTGCTTGATCAAGAAGACTCCGCTTGGGTTATCTGATTAGATTGATATAGTATCTCAAGTTTAAGTAAGGGACTGGACCTTACAACATGGTCATTTTCTCCTTGAAAGATCTAACTCTTTCTTGGAGTTCTACATTATGTATATTAGAATTTTTATTAATTTTAGAGATAAAATGTTAAAATATAAAATTACAAAAAAGGGAAAAGTAGGAAGGAGGGTCAATGGGAAAAGTTCAAAAAGTAGCATACAAAAAATTAACAAATACAACATAAAGAAAAAAGGTTACTTGTAACTCTCTTCAATACAGCTACAATTATATAATAACATAATCTCTGGTTTCAGTTTGACAAAAAAGCTAAGATATAAAAGATATTCATACCTAACCATCAAATAACAACCCCAATATATAATAATATCCTACTCTAAATAAACATATAGCCAAAATGCATTATAATAACAATTACAAATGAGATGTATATTTCTTTAAAAGATTAAGGTACAAAATAAACAGGCTAGTTATTCAGTTTTGTCACTGAATCTGATCTCCACGCAGGGAAACGACATTCAACACTAGATAGAATCCCAAAGGTGCTTTTTCAAGAGGTAACTGAACTTTCTTTGTTTTTCCTTGAAGAAGTTTAGTTTCTCATCTGTTAAAGGAGAAAATATGTGCCTTAGCTTTTCTAGGACAGGAAAGCCTAGGCCAGGGGTGTCAAACTCAATTTTATTGAGGGCTGCATCAGCATTATGGTTGCCCTTGGGGGGCCGGGTGGATGTGGCCAGGGTGGGTGCAGCCTATGGGTGGGCATGGACGGAATGGGTATGGCCTATTGGGTGGGCATGGCCAGCTCTACATTGTTCGCATCAAGGGGGCCTGTGGGGGCCTGGGCAGGAATGGGATAGATCTGAGGGTCTCTGGCAGAAGGGGGTGGGACCAGGGCAAGTGCCAAGGCATGGTCCACTGGAGGAGCCTCACCGTTCCTCTCAGGCTGGATAGTGCCGCAGGCTTCCTGGAGCCCTGGGCAGCAGAGGTCAAATGCCCAGCCTGGCCCTCGAGCACCCGCAGCACCAATCCCAGCCCCACTTCCCCAAGAGGGCGCACAGCTGCACTTACCTCCTCGTCAAGGCTGCTGCTGCTGTGCTTGCTTTCCTTAGTCAGGTTGCTCATGATGGGTACGAGGGCAAAGTCAGAGGGAGGCCCATTCCCTCTCCATGGGAGGAGACCCAGCTTTGTATCCAAAGCTTCCTTAGCAATAAGATGGGAGACCTCCAAGATAGGCCAAGAGGAGGGGGCAAGGGGATGGTAAAAGGGCAGCAGGGCAGGACTAAGGCAGGACTTCCCTCAGACCCTCCCTCTCCTTCTTTCCTTTCTTCCTTCCTAAGTACAAAATGGGGAGGTGTCACCCCTCGTGAGGAATGAAGAAATGCACCATCTCCTAGAAGTGGCCAGCACATGGCCCTCACCTATTTCACATATCTGGCTTGGTGGGCTGTGGGAGGGGATGCCATGAGCTGCGTGAGAGTCAACGTTACCTGCGCAATGCCGCCCAGCCTCCAGCCTGCCCAGTTTCAGCATGCAGCGAGGTACTCTCCTCACAGCACCTTCTGCCTGCTGAAAATGGGCAGGCTGGGGGCTAGGCAGCATTACACTTCTCATCAGTTTCGCACCATCTGGCTCAGCTCTTGGTGCTATGAGGGGAGCGCCCCGCTGCCTGCCAAAACTGGGCAGGCTGGGGGTTGGGCCTTGTCGTGCTTCTTTTTGGATTTATGCCACCCTGCTCAGCCTCTTGGTGCTGTGAGAAGAGCGCCCTGCTGCTTGCCAAAACCCCTCCCCCGGAGCCCATCAAGCCAGATATGTGAAGTAGGCGAGGGCCATGTGCTGGCCACTTCCAGGCAATGGTGCATTTCTTCATTCCTCACAAAGGTGACACCTCTCCAGCATGCACCCAGGGGGCAGGGCCGATGCGGCAGGGGCTGGTTCCTCGCTGTTTCCACATGGTCTTGTGGAGCTAATATTGAATGTGTTTCAGCATAGATGGCCACCACAAAATTGTACATTGGCTCCCATCTGGCCTGGGCCAGGACCAAGGCAGCGGAGGCCATTCCCTCACTGTTTCCAGGATGGCTTTGCGGGCCCCATGAAACCACTTCGCAGGCCGCATCTGGCCTCCGGGCCTTGTGTTTGACATGTCTGGCCTAGGCAGTTAAAGTTAAGCCTCATGTAAAAAGATTGTACTGAACCAAAGTTCTTACTGTAGTTTATTTCATAATGCTAAAGAAATATTTGGAATCTAAGATGAAGTTGTGCTTTGCTTAATAGAATTTTGCAAAGTTGCTTGTTTCAAATGTATATTTAGAACATACAAGTTGAATCCATGGGAAGTAAGGAACTGAAAGTAACAAATGGGTGCAAGTTTCAAATGTACACAGGTATATGTGGAAAGACATGGTCAACAGAAAGTACAAGGAACAGAATTTGGTAATGCAAGCTCAGCTGATCATCTGTTTGTGGAAAGGTATAAAAGTTTGGGAGTGGTCCTGGTTCATGGCCACATGGCCTCTAGCCGTCACTGTCATGACGGCTAGTCCAATGTTGGTCCTCATTGCAATGGGTTGTTGATGTGTATCCTAAATTCAATAAAATGAACCTCTGAATTCTAAAGTGAGACTTTTGTGATGTGCTGCCTTTGTTTTTGCTGGATTTTTCCCCTGACACATCCAAGAAGCTTGTTCACAACTCTTGAAAAAGCACCTGTGGGACAACCATGACCTGGATGATTGAGAATCTCCATAGACACTAGATAGAATCTACTATACTATATACTACTATAAATAGCTTCAACTTTAATATTTTTTTAAATCCATTTTTCTTTTAAAGGTACTTTAAATCAGTGGTTCTTAACCTGGGCGATATTGCCCCCAGGGGGCAATTTCGTTTTTCAGGGGGGGCCATGGAACGAAAAGGGGAGACGCGGGGCGAAGGAACGAAAAGGGGGTGATATGGGGGCGATGGAGCGAGAGGTTTTGGGGACACTTTTGAGACTTTTTCATACAGTGAATCGCTGTATATCTGATGGAGAGGGGAGCGCTTCTTTCAAAACATTGCATGCTAAGTGGCTCTGTAAAACAATTTGTATTGTATTTTTTTAGCGTGCACTCCAGTTCAGTATTATATTTTCTTTGTGTATTTTTAATCCTTTTTACAGTGTCGTGACTATATATAGTTTCCTCGAATCTTAATTTAGTTTCAGAGTTTTCATCTTGAAATTCTTAGTTCCTGCATTGCGGTTTGTTCTTATGCCTTTTTTATATTTCTTTTTGCGTCTTAAATTTCACTTGTAATTCAATCATTAAATGTTACTGTATTTCTTTTCAGGCATTTCACTTTCTTGCAATTGAATTTTGTTTTCAGTGGTCATTACATTTAAGTGTTTTGAATAAATAAGATAATAATGAAATACATGTATCACGAAGTTTGGGAATAAAGTGACAGGTGGCACCAAAAATTTTCACACAGTTGAGATATGGGAAAAAGACTGGAAATAAATTATTTGCATCAATATGTCCTGATGACAATTTTAAAGAAAACAAAAAAAGTGTTTGGATAAATTGAAGAATTATTTCCAATGTTGTGATTGAGAGGTTATATTGGGGGAGGGGGCGATGACAACTTCCTCATTGGCCCAACGGGGCGATTTGTTCAAAAACGTTAAGAACCACTGCTTTAAATCATAATTATACTTATTTAGAATAATATTTTTTTTAAAAATGTAAACTTACCAATAAGAGCAAAGACAACCTTGATTATGCCCTCAGTAAATTCTAAACGTTGAAATCCTGCCTTTGAACCAAGAGAAATGCTTTTCCTCCTTTGACAGAAGTACCTGAATGGGTATTTCACTGACCACCACAAGCCAATCAAAAGGAAAAAACTTCCAGGAAGAGCATGACCTTTAAAATTGGCCATCTTTTTCTACTGTGGAAAAAGCAGTTCAAAAAATAAAGTAAATTACAGAAGAATATCACATTTATAGGCAAATCTAAGATGTAGCTTATTATAGTTGGATCTAGTAATAAATCATATTTTGTTGCAGGAATGAAACACTATTCCTAGTATTATGAACTGTACTTCTTTGGAAAGGCATCTGTGCCAGACTTCAAACCTGCTTGTATAAGAGATATTTATCAGAAATTTATTTTATTCTTTTTGATAGATATTTCCCAAGTTTTGATCTTCCTCATTGCCTTCACTTTTATTTTCATCACAATGCTCACTGCAGGTGCAGGGAAGCTCTTTTATGTTGACATATCAAAGCCAGACCTATAATACAGGGCCTTGCAGTCAGAAATGGGTAAAGATTATAATTCTATTCATATGATTGCTATACTAACTGATTAAGTTAAAATATGTACCGTATATCCATACTCCTCATGGTGGTTAGTTTACTTTGTTTCCCCATAAGATTCCAATGTAGGCTCAACAATTTTTAAAAATACAATAAAATTCTTAATTGTGTCTTGTTTTCTGACCATCCCAGAAAGTTTGGATTATTGATAGAGCTACAGATTACACACTGTAAGTAAGGGACTGTGTAAAATTGTTATGTGGTGAGAAGTACAGAGAAAGATAAACATGGCAGTTATTAAGTGAGTCATGCCCACGACTTTTATGACCTTTCTTTTTCCACGAATGTTAAGTGAATCGCTGCAGTTGTTCAGTGAATCATACAGTTATTAAGCAAATCCAGTTTCCCCCATTGACTTTGTTTGTCAGGAGCCGGTTGGGAAGGTCACAAATGGTGACCTATGCAACTATTGTAAATACATGTCAGTTGTCAAGCGCCCAAATTTTTTTCATGTGACCATGGGGATGCCACAACAGTCCTAAATATGAGGACAGTCATAAGTCACTTTTTTCAATGCTATTGTAACTTTGAATGATCACTAAATGAACGATTGTAAATTGAGGGCTACCTCTAATTATATACATACTGTATAGATTAGTGTCCCCCAACCTTTTGGGCATCAGGAACTGGTTCCGTGGAGAGAGGTTTTTCTGTCAACTGGAGGGGCATGGTTTTGCATGCTGCTGCATCCTGAGGATGGGTTTCACTTGTTTGCATAGCCCGGTTGCTGGCATGGCACAGACCTGTGCTGGTCCATGGACTGGGGGGGGGACCCCTGATATAGATTAAGATATAGACCTACACCCTTACATATAAGTAACATATAAATATTAATCACTGTCCATCTTGAATACTTAATGGAAGGCGGAAGCTTTAGCGTTCACAAAGTTAATAGTGTATGGAACAAAACTGTGACTGAATCTGGATGTTCCGCTTTGGATACCACGAAGCCTCCTCCCAGAAGGTAACAAGGAAAACAGGTTGTGAAGAGGATGTGTAATGTCCCAGACAATCTTGCGGACCCTGCTCAAGCAATGCTTATATGCTATGTCCTGGATGGGAAGGACGGAACTGCCAATAATCTTTTCAGCCATCCTCACCACTCTCTGCACCGCCTTCCTCTCTGAAGCAGTGATGCTTCCAAAGCAGACTATGATGCTGTATGACAGGATGCTCTCGATTGTCCCTCTGTAGAAAGTGGTAAGGACAGGGGAAGGAAGATGTGCTTTTCTTATGCGATGCAGAAAATGCAAGCACTATTGTGCCTGCTTCACCAGTGTCTCACTGTTGAGCAACCAAGCCAACCTACTTGTTAACTGCACACTGAGGAATTTGATGCTGATAACCATCTCCATGTCATGGTTCCGATAAATGAAGCCAGTCAAAAGAACTTCAAGGCGAAAAATTTGTCCTCAAGAACATTTTATTTGGAAACAAGATTCGGCACTTACATAGTTGAACCCAAGACTAAAAGTTCCCTCCCCGATACAAAGTTTGTTGTTGTGGTTAGTTGCGAAGTCATGTCTGACCCATTGCAACCCCATGGACAACATTCCTCCAGGCCTTCCTGTCCTGTATCATCTTCTGGAGTCCATTTAAGCTCACGCCTACTGCTTCAGTGACTCCATCCAACCACCTCATTCCCTGTCATCCCCTTATTCTATTGCCCTCATTCTTTTCCAGCATTAGGTTCTTCTCCAGTGAGTCCTTCCTTCTAATTAGGTGGCCAAAATACTTGAGTTTCAACTTCAGGATCTGGCCTTCTAAAGAGCAGTCAGGGTTGATCTCCTCTAGGACTGACCGATTTGATTACCTACGGTCCAGGGGACTCACAGAAGTCTTCTCCAACACCATAGTTCAAAGGCCTCAATTCTTTTGCGCTCAGCCTTTCTTATGGTCCAACTTTCACAACCATACATTTCAACTGGGAAAACCATGGCCTTGACTATACGTACTTTTGTTGGCAGGGTGATGTCTCTGCTTTTTAGTATGCTATAGTTTGCCATAGCTTTCCTCCCCAGGAGCAAGCATCTTTTAATTTCTTGGCTGCTGTCCCCATCTGTGGTGATCTTGGAGCCCAGGAAAATAAAATCTGTCACTACCTCCATTTCTTCCCTATCTATTTGCCAGGAATTGAGAGGGCCAGATGCCATGATCTTGGTTTTCTTAATGCTGAGTTTCAAATCAACTTTTGCACTTTCCTTCTTCACCCGCATTAAGAGGCTCTTTAGTTCCTCTTCACTTTCTGCCATTAGAGTGGTATCATCTGCATATCTTAGGTTGTTGATATTTCTCACGGCAATCTTAATTCCAACTTTTGATTCATCTAGCCCTGCCTTTCTCATGATGTGCTCTGCATATAAGTTAAATAGGCAGGGTGACAGTATACAGCCTTGCCGGACTCCTTTCCCAATTTTGAACCAATCAGTGGTTCCGTGTCCAGTTCTCACTGTTGCTTTTTGACATTTAGATTGCTTCTTGACATATAGGTTTCTCAAGAGATAAATAAGATGGTCTGGTACTCCCATCTCTTTAAGAACTTGCCACAATTTGTTGTGATCCGCACAATCAAAGGCTTTAGCATAGTCAATGAAGCTGAAGTAGATGTTTTTCTGGAACTCCCTAGCTTTCTCTATGATCCAGCATATGTTGGCAATTTGATCTCTAGTTCCTCTGCCTCTTGGAAATCCTGCCTGTACTTCTGGAAGTTCTCGATCCACATACTGCTGGAGTCTAGCTTGCAGGATTTTAAGCGTAACTTTACTTCCATGTGAAATGAGTGCAATGGTGCGATAGTTTGAACATTCTTTGGCATTGCCTTTCTTTGGAATTGGAATGTAAACTGACCTTTTCCAATCCTGTGGTCACTGTTGAGTTTTCCAAATTTGCTGGCAAATTGAGTGTAGCACTTTTATTGCATCGTCTTTTAAGATTTTGAATAGCTCAGCTGGAATACTGTCACCTCCACTAGCTTTGTTGTTGCTTAGCTTTCCTAAGGCCCATTTCACTTCACATTCTAGAATATCTGGCTCGAGGTCAGTGACCACCCCATCGTGATTATCAGGGATGCTAAGCTCATTCTTGTATAGTTCTTCTGTGTAATTTTGCCATCTCTTCTTAATCTCTTCTGCCTCTGTTAGGTCCCTGCCATTTTGGTCCTTTATCATGCCCATCTTTGCATGAAACATTTCCTTCATATCTCCAATTTTTTTGAAGAGATCTCTGGTTTTCCCTATTCTATTGTTTTCTTCCTACTTTAGCATTCCAATCCCCCATGATGATAAGGACATCATTTTTTGGTGTTGATTCTATAATATGCTGTAGGACTTCATAGAACCAATCAATTTCATCCTCTTCAGCACCAGTGGTTGGGGCATAGACTTGGACTACTGTGATATTGAATGGTTTGCCTTGGATTCGCACTGAGATCATTCTGTCATTTTGGGAGTTGTATCCCAGTATTGCTTTTCCTACTCTTTTATTGACCATGAAGGCTACTACATTTATTCTGAGGGATTCTTGCCCGCAGTAGTATATCTGATGGTCCTCTGAATTAAATTCACCCATTCCTGTCCATTTTAGTTCACTGATTCCTAAGATGTTGATGTTCAGTCTTGTCATCTCTTGTTAGACCACGTCTAGCTTTCCTTGATTCATGGATGTTAAATTCCAGGTTCTTATGCATCCACAGCTGAGCATCCTTTTGGTTTTGGCCCAGTCGCTTCACTCTTTCTGGCGCTACTACTACTAGCCCTCTGCTCTTCTCCAGTAGCATATTGGACACTTTCTGACCTGAGGGGCTCATCTTCCAGTGTCATATCTTTTTGCCTTTTGGTACTGTCCATGGGGTTTTCATGGCAAAGATACTGGAGTGGGTTGCCATTTCCTTCTCCAGTGGATCACATTTTGTCAGAACTCTCTGCTATGACCTGTCCATCTTGGGTGGCCCTGCACGGCATAACTCATAGTTTCATTGAGTTATGCAAGCCCCTTCGCCATGACAAGGCAGTAATCCATGAAGGAGGATATTGGTCTATAGTTTTTTATTTGCATTAAATCATAGTCTTCTTTGGGTATTAAAGTAATATTGGCTTCAATCCATGTATTTAGTATTTTAGTCTCCAGGAGTATTTCATTACACAGTTCTTTCAAAATAGGATTTGGTATATCTTGTAATGATTTATAAAGCTCTGCAGGTAATCCATCTGGACCTGGAGTCTTATCATTTTTTTTTTTTTTTGCCTTTTTACAGTCTCTATAATCTCCATCATTGATATTTTTCCATTTAATATATCTTGAATATTCTCTGAAATTTTTTAATAAGTCTGCTTTTTTAAAATACTGCTGTATTTTTTCTTTTGGAATTTCTTCTACGTTGTAAAATATCTCATAATAACCTTTGATAATTTTTCTAATTGTATCATTTTGAAACTGTAATTCATCTTTTGGATCTTTCAGCTTATTTATCAGTTTTTTCTCTTTTTCTTTTTTCGGTCTATATGCTAACCATCTCCCCGGCTTGTTGGTATTTTCAAAAAAATTCTGTTTAGCCCTTTTAATCTGTTGAGCC